CGAGACAAAACGAACGCACCATCATTGGTTGTTTTTGTTCAGACATGGCAGACTTTTGCATATTATATTATTATATTTATTATCATCTCTCATGAATTACAGTCAGCATAAAGTTAAAGTGTTTAGCAAATATTAAAATAAGTAATCTTATCTTATATAAGTTAACTACTGCAGCTTTAAAGTAATACCCATATATGTTAATTAAGTTGCATTGTCCCACCACCCACCGCATGCTTTGGGGGAATCTGAAGCACCGCCTCTGCATGCAACTGATCCCTCTGAGTATTAAAGCATTACTAGGAAGATGCATGAACCTCCCCCTTGCATTTGGCCCTGCAGAAAAAAAGAAAACACACACACACACAGTCTGAGTGAGCTGACGGAAAACGATTTCCCAACTTCAGTGTGAATTTCCACCAAAAGAGGAGTTAACGTCCGCGCACTGTGGAGCCGCCTGCAGCACAGAGGGGCTTCAGACTGCGTGCAACAACGCGAGCGAGTCTCATTTTACGCGCATTCCCTCTCCGATCCAAGACATTGTCCCCCAAAACGTCGCGGAAGTGATAGTGATACCGCACCAGGCACCCAGCTCATCTGTGGGATCCAGAGTCTAGTCGAGGCAAGAAGGAGAGAAAGTAGAAGCTGCAAAGGAGTTTTTGGAGGGAACAAAATGTCAAAACCGAATTACTCTGGCACGTTTCATATGGTGGATATGGACAATATGGACAGCTACCTCGCAGCTTTAGGTAAGACTTGCATCAGTGTACCTTTTTACAGCTCTAACACTTAAAACAAGCTCAGTTAATCCAGACTTTTGTTGCCCTTTCACAAGTTTTTACTGCTTTTAGGTCATTTTTTCCCCCACATCTTGAATCACTCATTTCATGATGTGGCTCATCTTTAGTTGCAGCAGCACATATTAGAGTAATGAAGTCACCATCTTGTCCTTTATATGACCCCACACCCACACAGAGAGTGCAATCAATGTATCTGAGTGTGACAGACCCCCCTTTTTTTAATAAACGCACAGTAAAGTAATTCTCTCTCCTTATTAACTCCTCTTCTCTCAGATATTAATTTTGCTCTGAGGAAGATTGTGTGTCTGCTGAAGCCCACCAAAGAGATCACCCATGATCCGGTCACAGGAGACATGAAGATCCGCACTCTCACCACCTTCAAGAACTTCAACATGGATTTCACCATTGGAAAAGAGTTCACTGAAGACCTGGGTCCAGTGGATGGCCGTACCTGTCAGGTGTGTGTTGTTGTTGTTGTTGTTGTTGTTTGCCTGAACATGCACACTGACTTGTTTGGACATGCATGCATGCTTGCTGATACAGTGAATATACAGTGTCATTACTTGTTATACAAGTTGGCTTTGTGTGTTTAATTAGGAATGTTTGAGGAAACTTGAGCCACCTACTGCTGTGATTTGTATGTTGTAATCACCCCCTGCGGCTTAAATCCCAGCTTGGGGCTGCAAAAAGTGATGTGTGTGAAAAAGCAATGAATACAGTCGTCAGATTACAAGTCCCTTCAGAAAACTAGTGCATGCATCAGAATTGTCAGCATTATCTTACAAAACAAAAGAAAAAAAGAGCAAACGGAAGCAAACGAAAAGGAAAATAAAAGGTTTTGAACTCATGGCCACCCATTCGCGCCGCACAAAGACTCTTGCCCCTGTGTGATCGAACGTGTGAGCTACTTTACATACTAATTGCACACAGTAACATGCCGTCTCTGTGCTTTTGCAGACTACAGTGAACTGGGAAGGGGATAAGCTGATTTGTGTACAGCGAGGCGAGAAAGAAGGAAGAGGCTGGACACACTGGCTGGAGGGCAACAAGCTGCATTTGGTAAGGACATATGGACGGAGTGAAAAGAGGAGAGACGGGGAGAGAGGATGCGGAACAAGGAAAATGAAAACACTAAAGGAAAAAGATGCCTAAATTGATATGCTAATTAATGGAGAACATGCAAATAAGATAAGAGTTTGGAAGTTATTCATTACCTTATTCAGTTGCACTATGCTGTCTTTGTGGGAAGAAGTTCTTTAATAAAAGGTTGTGGACCTTTGTGCATGCCGGAGGGGGAAAAACCCCAACAAAGAAAGGCAAACACAAAAGAGGCAGAAGAATCTTGAATGCATGTCTTAATAAAGTGCTACAATAACTCTGGACCGGGGGAGAGGTTTGGTTCTTCTCATTTGTAAAAAGCATGTAAGCTTATAGATTATCTGTCAGTGCCGATTAAGATTGAAAACAATCAGTATTGTTCCACTAAATAGCTCTCTCGGGGTTTCTAATACCTCTGCAGTGAGGACAAAGCAACGTGTTGTCGATGTTGTGTCAGAACTCTGGGGGAAAATTGGGAAAGAAATGCCAGTGAGGATCAGGGCTCTAAAATGGAGGATTTTAAAAGGTTACACAAAGCAGGAGAAAGGGACCAGCGAGAGACTAATGAAGAAGGAGTGTGTGTGTGTGTGTCGGGGGGGGGATGGTGAAAGAGTGGGAGACGGATTACGAGGTCAAAGGATGAGGAGAGGGAGAGAGGAGGGAAAATGGGATTGTGTTTTGGATACAATCCCAGGTTTGTGTATCACCCATTTAATCCTCCTTTGATGTGCCAAACTGTCTGTATTGATTCTCACTTTTCATTTACACCCCCAACCCTCTTTTTCCTCCCCTCCTCTCCCCCTGCCCTCCCTCCTCAATGGTCTTTTTCCTCTGCAGGAGTTGAGAGTTCAAGGTGTGGTTGCCAAGCAAGTCTTCAAGAAGGCTGATTGAAGTAATACAATGTGTTTTAGTGGATAACTTGAAATTATTCTTAATAGAATATAGTTAAGTTACTTGGTACAAGATTAATGTTTATAGTTTTGTTTTTTAATTATAATCCACATTATTATGAAATATAATGAGACTGGATATGTGTTAAAATACTGGCGTGAACATGTTCCTAATTGTTTCTGTCTGATTGTACTAACTGAGAAAAGAGCAGCGGAGCAGATTTACTTTTGTAAACATTCCCAGAATGCTTCTATCGTAACAAAGTTATAAACAAATCATACATCTGTCTGGTGTCACTGCTACATCTTTATTCCACTATTCTCCAACTTTAAAATGTCAGTAGCACATGTGATATTATCTTATTGTATAGTTTTATAAATACAAAAAGTCAGTGGTCAGAATTCATAATACAGTGTGAGAAGACTTTTTACAGCCTGGTTGGAACAATATAAGTTAAATTAGATATCCTTTAAAATATAATTACAAATACGCAATTCACATTAAAGGATGTGAAAAAAGTATTTTTTTTAATGTTTCTTATTATCAACAAATCCCATGAAAACACCAACGGTTGGTTAGTCCGTCTTTCAATTTTCAGGCTTTTCTGTGGCACTCGGCCCATTGCTTCTTATGAAGATGTTTATGTTTGTTTTTTAAAGACCACAAATTTTCATTTAAAAAAAGACAAACAGCAATAAACGCTGCAGATTAATGTACATTTACAGCACAAATTTAAACTACAGTGCCTGCGTTCGTGGTAATGACGGCACATGTCAGTCAGTGCAACAGTGTGTCTCATTGGAGCTCTGTGGCACACAGGAATAAGCTACTTCAGACTTGGACTACACAAATAATTGGGGTACATTCATTGTCGGCTGTTGGTTTTGGTCTTTTCGTGAGATTTGTCTAAAGTAAGAAAAATATAGAATATCAACAGAGTTACTTTTAAATAGGCACCACTGAGCTGTAAAACATAAAACCCGCAGACAGCGCTGCTTTTACTTGTGAAGCTCCTATCTAATACTAATTCATATCAAATGAAATTACTCAAGCACAGAACTGCACCGGTGTAAATACAACACATAAATATCACATCACTCCAGCAGGGGGCAGCAAACTCTCTCTCTTATAAATAGATCCAGTTTAAAGTTGGAAAAATGGTTGTAGAATCTGGCTGGAGAGGGACTCTGGACTTTAACAATAACATTTACTTGATTATGTCCCGCACCACTCGTCCTCCTGTGGCTCTGAATAGGTTCTTTGGAAGTTGTTGGTGTAGTATCCAACACTTCCATTCTTGTCGCTGGATTCAGCGAACGAAACTGTAACCTTCAGTGGAGTTATAGGACGGCAGCTGTCCATGCTGTCGTGTGTGCCGTCACTGACCGCAATATCATCTGAGGAGGATAATAAAATCAATGTTAAGTATGACCATCCTTCAAAGTAATGTTACATCTAACACACTTTGCAGTTTGTGATTTATGGCCATCTTAATGGGACTGAAAGAATTTATGAGCGTGGGACTTTAATATAAGCTAGTGCTGGAAAAAGGAATACATTTTTCATTCTAGTTTATTTAAATTTAAACATAGTGTTGAGATGAAGTGTATAGACTCTAAGTCTTTGAAACGCTACAGGAGGGATGATCACCAGTCTTTAAAAGGCCCCACCCTGCATTTATGTGTTTCTTTAGCCCTTCATTGAGGTTTTTCCTTTAATTTGTCACCCATCTGTACATCTTCATCTTTATTCTAGGCAAAAACACAGCAACTATTGTAACAATGGCAGCAGAAGACTTCAAAGAGTTACAAGAGATAATATCAGTGACTTTATACGACCGAACATGGCTAAAGCATCAGTGTTTATACTATACTGCACATGGATAAAAGACACCAAACATGAACTACAGTGTCTCTGGTTTGACTCCCCTCATTCCCTGTCATCTCTCTACTGTCAAAAACTCTAATAAAGGCATAAAAATGGCCACAAATACTTAAAAACAACGGCTAAAATGTTTTAAATGAGTACAGCTGGTGTGTGTCTGCAGGCACTGGTGAAGGGATTTGTTACCTGCGTTAAAAGGTGGTAACTCGCAGCCATTCACAATGCAGCTCTCTTGGCAGTAACCTTTCAACTCCGTAGACGGTAGAGGCAGATCCAGCAGACTGTTGCGTTCAGCTGGAACCATTTCAATCAGCTTAACAGGAACACAGGAACTGACTGTCACACACAGAAAATACAACCAACAGGGTTAAAAAACAACATAATTCAATATTATTCTTACAAGTTAACTCTTATGTCATTGATTAAATGTCTTACAGGGATGAATCATTGATTATTTAGAAGCCCTGAATGGCAAGTGAGAAAAAAAGTTGTTTTCTCAGCTATGATTTGCGATTATTATTATGATGTTATGATTAACAGGATAATCTTTCTGGCAGAAAGGATAATAGTTTTTAATTTGATTAAAAAAAAGGTGGGAAAAAAGGTTTTACAGGAGGAAAAAAAAATCCTTTTCCAGGATTATTTTTAAGTTAGAACATGTGGTAGTGGTGCACTCTCTTGTGGCTAAAATGAGTATTACAACAACAAACACTTTATTTATTATTATTTTTATTTATTATTATTATTATTATTATTATTATTATTATTTAATTATCCTGGCAAAACTTTTTCCCCTCCACCTGTTTCACAGATTATTATTTTTTTAAATAAACTTATTTCAGGTCATCATTTTTACCTGATCTTAAGTCAAACACTAGTAAAAACTATTGTGATCAGACTAAGAAAATTGATCACAACAACCTTTTTCTCTAACTTGCCTCTCAGGGCTTTCCTATAATAATTACTGACAGTTTGAATTGTGTTAAATACTTAAAGCATACTTAAGATACATTGGTAATTCATTATCTGCAATGATATTGATTGGCCTGTAGGTGGCACTTTAATCTCTCAAAAATCTGATCAAACTCTGCAGCCAGTGTGATATGTGATAAGTATCTGGACAGGCAGAGCAGCTTTGTTTCCAGGAAACGTTCTTCATACTTCTTCATTAGTAAAACAAATTCAAACAGCTCAGTGTGATTAAAAATTAAAGTGATATGATCTTTAAAGTATCGAACACTCCACAACTTGAAAGACAATTCTAAAAGGTTCGTAGTTTCCTTTTTACAGAGAAGGAGATTGTGGTCAGATTTGACTCACAGCAGTTACAATAGATTTCCATTTTTTTTGGGGGCGGAAAACAGTAAAAAAAAACCTTCAATAAAAACGTGTCAATCCACCCCTGCAGCATAATTCACTTTTCTGCTGTTCATATATGTATGCTCAGTATCTTCCACACAGTCATCAATTTGCCATTACATGACTAGATACTGTCCTTTTAGTATAGTTTTTGCATCAATATTGGATTCCGTTGAAACCATCTCAAAGCTGACAGCTTTGTCTGTGACACTGTTCAAGTTTTACAATAAACTTTCAAACCTACTGTTATAGTACCGGTAACGGACCATCAGGGGCCCCACGTTCATTGTGTGTCAGTTCGTTTGAGGTAATTTGATTAATTCTAAATGTGTTTGGTAAGATGCACCACTGAAGCACAATAGTGGCTTAAGGCGTGTCCTGCATAATTATCTGTCTTGTCTAACAGCCGTCTAGAGACCTTGTTGCGTCCAGAGTTATTTCTGTTAAACATTTTTTTTTAGTTTTTATGTTTTCAATTAAGTTTTGGATTTGCAGTGTTAGTTTTTATTGTTTAAAAATGTTAAATTTTAGTTCAGTTATTATTAGTATTAGTTATAGTTTTAGTTTTCTTTATTATAATATGGGAGGTATTTGAGATTTAAGTAGTTCAGAATAGTTATTACAATAGAAATACATTGACTTACAGTCATGTAGATATCCCAGTCTCAATAAACAGATGCACCGATGCCTCCTGATGCTTGCTGTGTTGACAAATTTGACCAAATTGACGAAGACTAAAACTAAAGACATTTCTTGTATATTTTTTATTTTAGTTTGTTATGTAAGTACACAATATAATTTCACTTAGTTTCCCATTTTTTCTAAAGTCTAGTTTCTATTTCAGTTTACTTAAGTTTTTAGTTTAGCTATAATATTTGTGGTTGGGTCTAACCAAATTACAACAAACAGCGAACCACATCTTATTTAATCTCCCCCAGTGGGTTAATCTGGCCATCATGATTTCTCCTACTCCCACTGAACATCACGTTCTCAGTATATGCGACCTGGAGGTTTCCACATCTCACATGTGTAAGTTAGACAGTTGCCAATAAAAGTCAGACACTGTTACCTGAAAACCGAAACTATCTTCATGGCACCATACTACTACGAGAAGGAAAATATGTATTTTTTTAATCTATTTGACTGTATTTAACCCTTTCAAGAAACCTACATGCAGGGGCGGATCTAGAGAAGTAATGTATGAAGTGATATGGAGACTTTAAGGGGTGGCAGAAATATATGCTAATTAAATCGCATATCTATATTTGCTTGAAAAAAGCACCAAAATGAATTTATTTTTAACTCAAAAACATCACATTATAGTGGCACATTATTGAATAGAAATATCTAAATGTGGCATTAGAAATCAGTAAATTGTTTTGTTTATAAAACATTTTTCCAAATACATATTTTTTCGTTGAACTTGAATGAACCTATGTTTTTTTTTGACATTTGACTTCAAACTGATGTTTAGATATTCAAGAAAATACTGATATATTGTGATAAGAACAAAGACTCTCTTACTGGCAATCATTGACCTCAGTCAGTGTCACAGTAAAATTCTTAACTGCTTATCAAATGCTGCAAAAAATGTGACCACAAATCTGTTCTACGCTGCTACAACCTTTTAAAACTGACAACTGGCACTCAAACTCAGATCTTAATCAACACACTTGTTCTTGAAGTCCAGCCTTCTATCGTTACTTGTCTTTCATCTGTAAATTCCAGTATTGGCACATTACTTCACTGGAAATACAGTAAATGTAATACAACAGAACTTCAGCCAAAACAATCAAATGTGGAACTGTGCTGCATACGTAGGAACTGTTTCTCAGTATGAGTTAGCTGCCTGTGAAGTATGCGTCACATTATACCCTATAACTGTGTCAGTCTGAATATGTACAGGATGTGGTTTCCCCATTCATTTGGTCAGGCTCATCTAGCTTAGCTACATGAGATACGGTTCCTTATTTAACCTGCCTGGGTTATACTAACTCATAAATATTCTGCTTTTGTTCAAAAAAACCCCAACAGAAAGTACACAAGTACACTTCTCTTACACCGATGAACTCCAGACTACTACATAATTAACTCTCATTATGTAAAAATAAAATGATTTTTTTGTTCATAAATTCAGTCTACAGGAAATAGTGGGAGGGTATGTTTGAAAGAGATGAGCAGCAACCTTCAACTGTATGACCTCAAAGCCAGTTGTGTCTCACAGTTGTGGCTAACAACATACGTAGACTGCCAGTGCGTAGGCAAACCTGTACACTGTTTCATCGCCTCTTCAGGAAGACTAAGAACAAAAGTGTGTGAAAATCAATGATGAAACACACCTACACGTATGACACAATTGTACACACCTGTTCTGGATGACTTGCGTTTTTTCCTCCAGCAGATGAGACCAAACAGGACAAGTGCGGTCAACACGAGTCCTGACCACAGGCCTGCGGGTAACATCCAGTGACAATCTGATAAACAAAGAGCGAGAGAGAGGGGGTTTACAGGGACCCAAATACATTTGAATTACTTTATTTCTTGTGATTGACATCCGGTAAATAAAGTGGGAGTTGAGTGATTACTGAATACCGCTCTTGTTCCCACATACGCTATTATATAACAAGGTAATGAATAAAATGTCTGTAGGCTTTCTCTTTCACATGATAATAATATCAGAGCAGTATTTATTTTATTACTAATTATTTACATTTATAATCAGTATATAAACACTTTATAAAACACTGTAATAGGTGTAAGGTTTTATTACATACATTACCCAAGTGTCAACAATTGTAACTCTTATGAATCATTCATAGATGTTGTAGAAACAGCACATAAGCAAATCTTTACAGTGTGTTAAAAAGCGTTTATGAACTTTTTATATATTTAAAACAGTATGAATGTGATCAACATATAATTATATACACACATACGTATAATATTACTATCTTAGCATTCTAATATTATAAAAATGTCTCATGTTGTCTCATCAGCCACTCGTGGTTGGAATAGCCTTTTTTCTTTGTGTTATGAAAACCTTTCGTTTCTAGATATAAAAAAATGTCACAGGTACATTTTTCACTTGCTTACTTGATGTGTTTTTACTAAATCTTTGATGACTTGGGTACAGAGTTGAAAAACACACAAGTGGGAAAGCAGTGTTTTATCTATTGATTTTTATGTGTAATGTCTAAAATGTGACTAATTTCTTTGCATTGTGTGTCAGTACAGTTCTGTAGATCTGCCAGCTCTTAGTGTTCACTCTGTCGTGTTTTTCCCAGCCTTAAACTAACTCTCGTGGCATTTCAGATCCAACCGCTACCTCTTGCCCTTTTCCTGGCATTCCCATCACTTGACCTTCCCTGCCCACCTGTTTCCCATTTCCCTTATCAGTCTCACTCTTAATTACTCATTCTCTCCCTGCCTGACCCCTTTTTAGATAAGTTTGCCTGTTATGATCCACCTGCCTGATTTTGACGATGAGTAAACGTGAACATTCACCTAACCTGGCTGTCTGAGTCAAAAGATAGTTTGAGTTCAAGCCTGTCATTCTCCGAGCCCTAACAAGATCAGGTTTATATTTTTACATTCTTCACTTCTGTACACTGGTAAACAAAACTCAACTTCTGTCACCCGATTGGGTACTTTGACCTTTGGAACTTGTACTGGCCTCATTTTGTTGGCTGGGTTTTCTTTTAGTGTCTGTTTAGACAAATAGACGATGGCGCCTGTGTGCAACCCTCCCGTTCCAAGTGTTTTGGTAAAACTATGGTGGCTTCAAAACATGAAATACATGACAGGCCCTATCTAGAGCAGATCAACATGGTGGACTTTCAGGTGATTACACTCTAATGAAAACATACCTATGACTATTTTATTCCATTTCTATCAATAGATCCTCCTAAATATTACACACTGGACATTTAAATCTCACAGGACCTGTGTTCTACTTTGTTTATTTGTCCTGAATATGTCTCAAATTACCTTCCTTTTGCTGACAGGTAGAAAAGAGTATGTTTAGGTCTTAGCTTTGAAATAGTAAACTTTGTAAAGTTATTTTGCGACAGCCTAGCATGTCCACAACAGCCATTTATTTTAGCCACGTTAGCGCCAAGGCTCCATGGTAATGTTGGTTGGTCACTTTGGTTTACACTAAAATTCCTTAATTGATTGGATTAGGACTACATTTAGTTATATATATATACTAACAACTTTGTTGACCTTTAAGCAGCACAATGTGGTTGACCCCCTCAGGATGAATTGTACTCTTTCATGTGATCCTTTTCATCTTTTAACTTATAATACTTGAGTCTATGATCAAGTCTTGCAAAAGTAAATAATGTTCCATCTTCCAAAGCTTCAGCCTTACTTTATGTTTAGTGCAAATTAACAAATTCTAGCACGCTACAGTTAACATTAAATCTGCTTAGCATCATAGTCAAAGCATTTTGTCTAAGTACAGCCTCACAGAGCTGCTAGCATGGCAGTAGTCTGCATGCCACAACTACTGACGTACTGCAGCTCCTTCCTCAGTGCCAACATCCTGAAACAGTCCCCTGAACCTGTCTAGAGCCTGCATCCGGTCTTTGACTCAAACCCCACAAATTCTTTCACATCCCTCCACTTCTACATCCATTCATTAAGGTACATGCTGGGCAGTAAATTTACAACCCTGGTAGCCTGGTAGTGAAGTTAATGCCATGGTGCAATCCTACACACTTCAAATATTTAGTATTGTGTCACTCACAGCTGCCTACACTCAGACTCTTTTCCTTATACCTATGAGAACTGATTTTCTTTGGCCTCATGGAGCCATCGGCTTTATTTTGATATGGTGAAGTTGTTAGCAAACAGTTGCTTATTTACAAATCCAGCAGTTATGGATTCAAATTATCATTCATAGTTATGTTTCTGAGCACCTTGTGAATGTAAGTCCAATATTCACTCTGCTTTGTTATTGGTCTCTATCTACTCCTGAGGGCAGGTAAATGCTCCACTCCACTATGTTCACCAGCTAGTCGTTAACTATTGGTTGGTTTCTAAAGGTTTTTCACTGAAAACAGCTGCCTGTTAAAGATGTAATTACCATTTACAGCCAATTACAGAATCTCCATCTCCTACTAACTGTAACACTTACTCTTTACCTTTGGTATGACTTCCCATTCGACTTCTACTTCCTCTCTTAATAAATTGATCATATGACATTTAGGAACTGAAGGTCAACAGGAACCCACTGAGTCACTGAGAACATCCGCTACATTGCACAAGTTAATTGTTTTTTCAGACCTAAAAAAGTTTTGAAACGAGATCTGAAGAAGTAATGCACATATCAAACGATGAGCCTTATGGTAAAAAAATGGAGACCTACCATTTTTAAAGTCACCACAGATGGCATCAGTTGTTTGGGTTCCTGGAGTTTCCAACACTCTCCTAAAGTCCTCGCATCTAAAAAACAACATTCAGAACAGAAACTAATCAAATACCCAGATACCGTACGGTATGTTTACAACCAATTACAAATGTGAAAATGTATAAAAAGCTTTAGCTCTAGAAACAGTAATACCATTCCTACAATATGGACAAACCAACATATGGTTACAGAAGATGTGATGTGGGATGTTTCGGGTTGTCAACTGAAACCAAATCAGTCATTTCTGTCGACGGCTGACTAATGAATGATTCAGTCACATTTGACGACATTACATACATCAACATCCTACTTCAGCTTTAATAATAGTAATAATGGTAATAGTGGAAATGCAGTCTGACCTGGTATGTTTTTGACACGGTGAGAGAAAATCTGTTACGTTGCTGTAGGTCCCTTCTTTACAAGGAGCACAGACGGTGTCATTCATTTGAGTGGCTGCAAGAAGCAATGAGATGTATTTTTTTAGTTGTCAGTTTGTGCTGTATTGTTTAGCAAGATGTACTGAAGAACATGATGTTTTATTTTGCTTTTTACAATGGAAGCATACCTAGAACCTTGACCCCTTTACCCAGTTGGCAGCGGGTAACCGGCTGGCAGTGGTCACAGGCATTATCACTACAGTAGAAACCAGTCACACACTCACACACTGTGTTATCCTTAGCTGTGCATTCCTTTACTGTCCTCTGGTTGTTACCTGAAAGAGTCAGAGAGATAGAGTTTGGTCCCTTGAGGTGTCTCCCATATTTTTTATGTTTCAGTTCTAGCTCTTATATAATAAGGTGACATCACATATACAGACTGATACTCTGACTGGAAGCACTAGAGTGTACCGACCCACAGCAGTTTATAGACATAACACCTTCTCACTGTGTCCCCCCACCCCCAACAGACAAAAGAAATCCTGCAAACATTTTGTGTCTTTTTGAAGTCGCCTGTGTGTGTCTTTCTTACTCTTTGTAGTCGTTTTTCTCTCTTTTTGGTTGTTTTGTGTCTATTTGTAGTTGTTTGATGGACTCTACAACAAGAAAAAAGTCACTTTGCTTTGGTCCAGGCAGACCCCTTGGACCCCTGGGCTTGTGCCCAGTCGGCCTGTTTGGTAATCCTTCCATGGGGAACAGGTGGGGTGACGTACAGATTGTAAAGCCCTCTGATACAAACTTGTAATTTTAGGCTATGTAAATAAACTGCCATAGAAATGTGACTTAACAGAACTTAACTTGAATAATCCGTTTCAATTCTTCTCATAAGTTGTGAAAAAATAGCTGTGTTCACTGAACTTGAGCACAAGTTCAAGTTAATTTTAGATCACAGAAATACGTTCTCAAGTCATTTGACACAAAGGTTTTACAGTCTCTGCTGCTGTTGGTGCCATTTTTGTAGAAAAGACAATACACAAGGCTGCACTCAGTAAATTGAATTAGAAATGTATGGGGGTAATTATTTTTAATGTTGTTAAAATGATCTTATTGCACATTGACAGTATCATACTTTCATGTAGAAGATTGTTCTAGCTCTTCAGTGAAACTGCATTATGTACAATGAGTTACATATTTAAATGAAACACTTTATATGGTTGTACTACTTCATGAAATTAGAAATAATTCAGATATCCTGTGCATAATTTTAGTATTTAGTATTCCCCCCCAAACTCAGCATGAAACAGTTGGTATCTTTCAAAACGAAAGTTTGGCTACACAGCTGTCCCTGACTGAGGAAGTTAGAAAAGGGGATTTGTGATGATGTTAAAATGAAGAAAGAATTGCAAAACACAGATTTTTATATATATATACTAAAAGGTAGCGGGGGGGAGAAGAGGAAGAACTCCATGTGTCTGCAGTACAGAAAAAGCGTGTGTTTGTGTGAATACAGTAGTGTATGAGACTTACTGGAACTGCACTGCTTGCAGACGTGACATTTTCTCAAGTTATTCTTTGTGGCTGTGTAGAACCCACTATCGCAATCACCACAATTTGTCTCGACTTTGCCATCACACTCAGTTTTCATGTACTTTCCTGATAAGAGTTGAGGAAACAAATAAATACAGAAGAGTCGGATGTCAGGCTGTAATGCAAATACAGTTTGTATAAAGGTTAAATATATTTACACAAAGAACATACTGTGTTAGGGTTTGCACAGTCCTAATAAGTTTGTTATCCAAATAGAAAAGAATTGTTAGTAGCTGAAACTTTACGATGTTGACTGACCTGCAGCACAGCGATCACAGCATTTTCCATTTTCACTGGTGTATTTATCCTTATCTGTGCAATTCATTGTGGGTATTTGTTGCCCATTCGATTACTGTCCTCCACCTGTGTGTAAAATATCTAAGCTTAAGACTACAACGACAGTCTTTCTGTACACACTTCCCTTAGTAAGTAGCTGTTTAATTTATCTTAGCTCACTGAGCATCGGTCAAGGTGCAATCTCTCTTTCGTCTTCCTCTTTTTCTGACGCTTACTTATTCACTGCTCACAACTACACTCACTCTGCCGTCTGATCTGTCTGTGACTATACATGTTTCCCCTCCTTTCTATGCCTTAGCTTCTTCTCATGTCTTTTTTAATCCTACACAGTGGAAAACCCCAGTGACCCTTCTCGGCTGTTTTCCCCTCGGTCTCTCTGTCTCTCTGCCTCTTACTGTGTATCTGTCTCTCCTCATTTCCTTCCTGTGTGAGCCCTCTGACTGCGAGGTAAGCAGTGTGTGTTTCCGTGTAGCTCTAGAACCAAACGCTGATTTTGGCACTCTAACTGCACAAAGCGTAGCAGCACAATGAGACATTTCCTCTCTCCTCTACACCCTTTCCTTTCACTCCATCTCCATTGTTTTCACTGAACCTTTGTCCCAGTGGTGCTGGGATGTTGTTGAGCTGAAACTGCAAAGAGAAATGTAATAGCAGTCTATCTGAAAAGTCTTTCGCCCAGTCTGTCTTCCTGCCATTTCACTTAAACACAGCTACTCCTTTGTTACTGCAAACATATAAAAAACAATCTACAAATAGATTTTTTAAAATGCCTACGTTTGCAAAATATGAGTGAGAGAGAAAGGGGGGCAGCAAGGAAGAGCGAGGGATGGAAAGTAAATTATTAAGAAAAGGGGAAGGAGAGATATTGAGTTTATTTGTGAAGAGATTTGATCGGATCACGATGTTACGATTAAGGTGGGTTAGGTTTTTTGCATTTTACTACTATAAAACCGATAATTGCATTACTACATCATAATGATTTGCAAAAGATGAGTACTTGTATGATGGAGGGATGTTAATGGATTTGGTTGTGATTTTGTGATTTCGACGCATAATCGTTTTTAGCTCATATTGTTGTTTTTTAGTGTGACACGATTTCACATTAAGTAATACTTTCTCTTTTATAAGTTTGTGGTCCTTACATTTCTTCCTTTACTTTACAATGTGTCACTCCTTCCCTTGAATTGTCTTATCTTCCGTACTTTCCCTCAGTCTCCTGCTTCTCCTGCTCGCCCACCCAGCCTGCTCGACGCTGCTGGGATGGGTGGAGTCTCCAGGGTATCCCACTGGATACTTGCCCCATGCCAGTCTAAACTGGAGCAGGTGTGCCCCCAAAGGTCACACCCTCTCCATCAGGCTCATCCACCTGGACCTGGAGGACAGCCAAGACTGTGAAAACGATGCCGTGAAGGTCAGGGGTCAAAATAAACTTTAAGAAGTCTAGGTTACCAACTGATGTCCGTGTCGTTATTGTAACCACTACAACATAATTTTCTGATTTTGTATTTTTCCAGGTCTTTTCAAATGGAAACCTAATTTCCGTTCTATGTGGCAAAAGAGAATTTGAGGAACTTCAGTCCACCGTAAATCCCTTGCTCCTCTCCTCCCCGGGTGGCTGCCTCTCTCTCTCATTCCACTCTGACTACTCCAACACCGAGAGGCACACTGGCTTTAGAGGCTTTTATACCGATCAAGGTGAGATGAAAAAAAAACTGTGAAATATTGAGTTGTCCACCAAAGTCCATTGTCTGTGTGCCCATTTTATTTTTCTACATAGCCCAAGGGAACCCAATTTGTACATGCACATATTTCATTATTGTGACTACTTTTGTAATCATAATGTTAGGGAGGTAATATTTTTAGACAACAATTCACAATGGTTCATAGTCGTTAAAGCTGACTTGGAAACAGTTTGAGTTGTCTTATTTTCAATTTGTAATGAAAATCATGACATGATTTTAGAAATAGGCCAAACATAAGTAGAGTAAGTGCTTTTAAAAAGTGTTTAGCATTGAGACTTTCAGTTTCAGTTCTGGTGCTGACAATGCTGCAGTGACTCATCTTGTGTCTACCAGCTTCAGTTATCACAATCTTTGCTGTACAGCAGAAAATGAGTTTCACAAATATAATAAGAAAATCCTGTATGGTGTAGAGCCATTAATTAACTCTGTAATTAAAATCTCAAGAGGGTAGAATTGATGCAGTAAACTGTCTTGACTTTAACCCTCGTCTCTATACTCATAAGCATGAAAAGATTCAGTATCATGTTGACTAAATCTGTCCACAGACAGAAACTGCTACAATAGGTGACTCCAGGACCACGTTTCGCCATGATATCACACACACCACACACAAGGTGAAAGCAAAACCAGCCACCACTGTCATGGCTGGTAAATGTGTCACTCAATATCTTCCACTACATACGTATGTTAGCTAGAGCACAACAAGCTGAATATATAAAATACTGTATCTCTCAGATACATAGCTTGAACATAAAGTGACAAAAAGACAAACAAAAGCAAAGGTTCTGCTTTTTGAATTCTGTGTAAATAACCAAGTGACATGTTTGGATCCAGAAGATCTGATGTCTGTCTGGTAAATATTGAGCTACATCCAGGAGATGGTTAGCTTAGCACAGTTAACAGCTAACCTGACTCTGTCCAAAGGTAACATAATGGAGGTATAACATGTTAATTAGGGAGCTTTAGAGGTCCTGGTAGGGAGATTATGTTACCTTTCGACAGAACCAGGCAAGCCACTCCCCTCATTTCAAGTCTTTATGCTAAGCTAACTGGCTGCTGGCTCCAGCTACATATTTTCCATAAAGACATCAGAGTGATCTATAAAAGTCTTCTCATTTAACCCTCTGCAAGTAAGAAAATACGCGTATTTTCCCAAATGTCATTCCTTTAAGATATGGTTTTTCTGCCAAATGCCTGTAGTTAATTATGTAGCTACATGTGAAAATCTGGTAGTTAAAGGAAAATGAGCTTTAAAGAAGTGCACCACCACCACCAAAACAACACAGCATGGCCAAAAATGTACCAAGAAAAGAAATTATACGGTTTGGTCCTATTCCAGGACCTGGTAGAAGAAAGTGTTTATCAGGAAACCCAGAAACCATCAAAAGACCTAAAAGCATATTTCCCAATACCATTCAGTGTATTGTGTTGCTTTTCTACATTTGACCTTCAATTAATTTGCTCCTTCAGACTTTGACGAATGTCAGGACGACCCCGAGAACAGATGCACGCAGTTCTGTCACAACTTCATCGGAGGGTACTACTGCTCCTGTCGCCATGGTTACCACCTGGACGTGGACAATCACACTTGCACTGGTAACAAATTACCTCGATATCAGTAGACAGTGTGCACAGAGTGAGACAAATCAAAAAAGAAGGAACAAAACTAAAACATGAAGTGAAAGTGGGAAAATAGAGGAAGCAGAAGCAAGCAAGTGATGGGGGCGGAAAAAAGGAAGGGAAAGAGGGGAATTAGATGAGAAGAAGGCTGATTGTGCAATACTTATGATTTTGTTCATTAAAATGATGATGTGACGACAATGAGCTCTTATCTTCAACACAGTGAGCTGTACTGAAGATTTCTCAGGGCTGAACAAAGGTGACATATCGAGTCCTTCCTGGCCTGCTTCGTATGCAGAGAATACCAACTGTCAGTACACCCTGTCTGTGGAGGCCCACCTGCAGATGGAGCTGCACTTCTCCGACGATTTTGATGTGGAGCAAAGCCCTGATGGTCAATGCATAGACACACTGAGGGTAGGTTCTAAGTCCCAATATGTAAATATACGCCCTGGAGGTGTGTCTTTCTAAAACTTTACAGAGCAGTAAACAAAGAGGAAGTTCAGACCAAAGTGTTGAAACTGCGGATTCGACAACTAGAGCACTTCCTGTTACGGTCATTTTATGGTCTATCTGTGTTACACATTCTGGATTTTTGCCTATAAAAAACATATTCACCTCCTTGAAACAATCTATCCATTTTATTAATACATTTAATGTTCACTTTTAATTACAAATTAATTACAAATAAAGAATACGGTAGATGTGTACACCAATGCAAACATTTATTTTGTATTTTATATTTGTGGTGAACCATTTTTGTGGGAGGACACACCTACACACATATTAGGAAAGGAACATTTGGTTACATTACCTTGTTGTTTTGCAGATTGAGACTCCCTCTGGGACTCTGGGGCCATTCTGTGGCCACACGCCTCCCCCATCTCCCTTCCTCACTCATTCAAATCATGTCCAAATCCGCTTCACCTCTGATGGCTTTGGCACTAACAAAGGCTTCAGTCTCCACTTCAAGACCAGAGGTACTGCAGCCTCCTCAGCTGCGACACAATGGGCAAAGAACGTTAAAGAAGTTTATTGAAGATCACAAATAATTGTTCTTTTATTTTAATTGCAGACAAGGTTTGTCCAGCAGTGGTAACCGCACACTCCACTGTGGCTCCTCAGAAACCAGAATATCCTCGGGGTCAAACAGTGACAGTCACTTGTGAGCTTGGCTATGTTGCGACTATTGTGAGTGTACAGAGAACCTTTAACAGCCTTACATTTGATTAAATGCAGCCACTATAAAGCTAATTGAGTTCTCCTTTTTAGCAAAGCACTCAGACCGTGTCATCACAGTATGTGACCACATGCCAGAGTACAGGAATATGGGCTCCCAATTACATCTGCGAACGTGAGTCTGACTGTAACAAATTATTTATGTTTGTTGTTGTTGTTGTTTTTTCACTCTCTCACACTGTTTTTCCACATATTGTTACATGTAGCTGTGGATTGCAGCGTTCCTAATATCCCAAAAGATGGCATCCTTCAGTTGGTGGATGATAACCCACAGACTCAGTATAAAGACCAGGTCCAGTTTGAATGCAGTTCAACTTACTACATACTGGAAGGAGATGGTGATTATATAAAGCGTATACACATCCCTGTTCTGTTGCCTTTCCTGAACAAAATTTTAAGAATTATTATTATCTATATGCTTTCTTTAATCTTACAGACACGTACACTTGCAGTGCCAGTGGTGAATGGGTATCAGCTGGCGGCAAGACGGAGATGCCAAAATGCATTGAAGGTATGACGTTAAAGTTATTTCTTATATTTTCTCATATATTATTAGCATTTTGGAGACCGCCCCATTGTCATATGAATGTCTGATGACTCTTTGTTTATTTCAGAGTGTGGGAAGCCTAAAAAACACCCTGCAAGTGCAGGGAGAATTTTGGGAGGTAAGGATGCACGCCTGGGAGAAATACCTTGGCAGCTTTTGATAAGAGAGCCGAAAAGAGGAGGAGCATCACTGATCAGTGACCGATGGGCTGTCACAGCAGCTCATGTCGTGGAAGATCTGGAAGAAACCTCTTTGCGCCTGTACGGTG